TAGTTAATGGAAATGTATGTGGAATGCTGTGCTTTGCAACAAACTGAATATCTCAAATTCCTTATTTTTCTAATAAAACAATAATATTTAAAAACTTATGTTTGGTCTTTTGAGCAGACAACCTGCTTAATTAATTCCCTTTTAGGCCACAAATATGCTACTGAGTCCAATTAATTACCTGAGTTTTGCTGGTCTTGGCAGACTCTGAGACTTGTGTTTTCTCTTTGGTTTTCTCAGTTAATTATTAAATGGGAATAGACTTGGGAAAGGAGTGCCAGGTGTGACAGCCTAGTTGAGAAAAGGACTCATCTCAACTTAAATAGGGTTACACTGGACTCTAGAACCTCTCTATTCCAAGCCCCAGCATTCTCTTAGGAGAGCTGGTTGCTTACACCTGTCAGCGTGACCGGCCCAAGACAGTTTGCTGCCTTGTTATTGTTATGTGCTGTCAAGTCACCTTGACTTATGGAGACCCTATGATCTTCAAAACATCCTGTCCTCAACTGCTCTGCTCAACTCTTGTAAATTCAAGCCTGTTGTTTCCTTTAGGGAGTCAATCCATTTCATATTTGGTCTTTCTCTTTTCATGCTGTCTACCACCTTTCCTAGCATTATTCCTTTCCAGAGAATTCTGCCATCTCATGAAGTGCCCAAAGTAGCACAGCCTCAATTTCAAAATATTTGCCTCTAAAATTGATTTGATCTAAGACACACTTGTTCATCTTTCTGGCAGTCCAAGGTATCCGTTAAGCTCTTCTCCACATTTCAAATGAGTCAGTTTTTTCCCTGTTAACTTTCTTCACTGTCCAGTATTCTCACCCAAGAAACACAAGGGTGTAGATGATCATGGACTTGGTGTCCAGTGACACATCCATACACTTGATGACTTTTTCTAATTCCTTTATTGCTGCCTTTCCTAGTCTTAGTCTTCTGATTTTCTTGGCTGCAGTCTCCATTTGGATTAATAATTAAACCAAGATATTAAAAAAGTACAACTACAGCCAACCCTCGACTTATAAATGGCCCCAGTTACAAACATTTCGACTTACAAACCGCTCTGATAGAAAAATATTGACTTGACTTGCAAACCTAGATTCGAATTACAAACTGAAAAAATGCACGGGAGGTGGGGAAAGCGCAAAATTTGAACTTTCAGTTAACCGTTCGCCAGTGAAGAGGGTGCCTGTCTGCTTCCACATTCTTCCCAGCGTTTTGAGAGTGGATTTGGAGACAGTCTTCAGACTGCCTGGTACTACCTGGCATTGCTTGGTATTGCCTGGTACAGTGCTCTACGGACTGTATTTTTATTTTTTGGCTTTTTAAAAATGTTTGATTTTTGGATTTTTAAAAGGTGTTCCCACCCTCCTTTGCTGCCCCCTTTCCCCCCAAAAGGTGCTTGTCTTGATTGAAAAGGTGCTTTTCAAGGTGATCTGTTGTCTGAAAGGTGCTTAGTTTTTCCCAGAAGGTGCTTGTCTTGGCTGAAAAGGTGCTTTTCAAGGTTTTCTGTTGAAAAGGTGTCTGTTCCCTCCTTCCTTCCCTCCCTCTTTTCTTTCCTTTTTTAAACCTAAGTCATCTTAGGTTAAAAGGAAAAAAAAATAAAAGAAAATCTGCCCCTAGTGGTAGGAACGGCTTAACCAGCTTTGCATTAGTTCCTATGGGAACTAATGATTCGAGTTACAAACTGCCCCTTGACTTAAGAACCAAAAACAACCAGAACAGATTAATTGGTTTTCAATGCATTCCTATGGGAAATGCTGATTCGACTTACAAACTTTTTGACTTACAAACTTCCTTCCGGAACAGATTAAGTTTGTAAGTCGAGGGTTGACTGTATTTCAATTTCTTCGTTGTCAGTACTAACTTGGTTGCTATTAGTAGCAGCAGTTGTTTTTGTTTTATTTATATGCTGCCTTTCTCCCAGAATTAGAACCCATGACAGCTTACAAAACAAGTTTAAAATGCTAGAAATTTTAATACAAGAACATTATAGACATTAAAATAAAACTAAATTCATCATGTTATTAAAATGCAATTAAAATACTTAAAATCATTTGTTTAAAAACAATATACCTAAGGAAGAAAGGAAGAAATGATTTAAACTCTTAATTACACGAAGGCTCTCCTGAATAAAAAGGTTTTTGCCTGCTACCAGAAGGGCAACAGGGAGGAAGCAAACCAAGCACCTTTTGGCAAGGAGTGCTAGAGGCTATGTGCAGCCACAAAGAAGGCCCTGTCTTGAGTCCTCACCACACAGGCCTTTGAAGGCCTTTTTCAGTAGATCTCAAAGTTTGAACAGGTTTGTTTGGGAGAACATATTTTTTCAGATAGACTGGCCGCTGTTCATATAGATCATAAGAAACACTTTGGATTGTGCACAGAAAAGGTCTCATTCCTCCTTTCTGTTCCACATGCAGGGGTCAATGAGAGTGAAAGACCTTACTTCAACAATGGCAACATGATAGATTTTTCTGTTACAGCTGGAGATAACAGGCTAAATGAAGGGCTATGCAGAGCACAGAGCTTTATCCTCCAGAAGAAGGGAATATCCTGTGGAGGAGCAGCTGAGATGTTGCCCCTGTTGACTCTCAGCCTCTGCTGCTTGAGGTGGCTGCCTCATTCTGTTTAATAATAGGGGTGACTCTGTCTGCCTGCTTCATGCAAACAGTAAATTTTTTAACCCCTCCTTGGATGTGACCTGTGAGCAACCAAGTCTCCCTAAGGAGAGTATGGTGCTTGGTCAGGGAGTCTTCCAGGTCCCAAATCTATCATTTTGTACTGAGGTAAGTCCTTAACCCTCAACAGTGCATAGTATATGTCATGATCAGCCTCCTCTAAAGGAAAAATTGACTGGTCAGACAGAGAGTAATTAGAAGTCTGGGCACCCTCATGCAGTTGGGTTGAGTCCTAGGTGACCTCAGCCAAGGCATGCAAGAAACTTCTTCTTACAAGTCTGCCCTAAAAAGATACCTGCTCAACCTTAGGAAAAAAACAAGAAGAAATTACACATGAGCTTTGTAGTCCTTAGACCCATTTGGCTCAATAAGGCAGGACTCAGTAGCTTACTGTGGCCTTGCTTCCCCCTCAGGGTATTGCTAAGACAGCTTCACTGTTCTAGAGACCAAAAGATTTTATCATTATTATTTTTATTGAAAAAATATAGATTTACAGAATAAAGTCAGTCTGATGCAGAAGAATAGCATATTACCTTTTTCAAGGCTTAATACAAAATAAAAATGAAGCAATAATTCCTTTCAATTACAATAGCTCTAAGAATCCCTAAAAATTTCTAAAAGCTTTCTTAGGGTAGGAAAAGGCATAAAGCCCCCTTTCCTTTCTTCCTGCTCTCCCTACATTTCCCTCAGTCCTTTACCTGCACTGGGCAGCATTTAAACAGACCTAGAAAAACTATGATGGAAAAAGTAGACCAAAAATTGTAGAACAAAATAATCTCTGGACATAGTAAAAGTTCATTTTTCAAGCTTCTTTGGAACCACCCTTCTCCTCCGTCTCTCAAGCTGTCATCCAATCACTGCATAAGGTTATGGAAACAGTCCCTCCTTCTCTTCTCATGAGAAACAGGTGTTTTTCTCAGTCCATCTCCTTCTATGCCACAACAAGTGTCAGGTCTTCTTATCTTGTAATGGCTTGTTCTGGCCTAAAGGAAAACATTCCCACAGCTCTATGGAAATACACTCCCGGGATGCAAAATCATTTGTACAGAGAACCAATATGAATCCATTTTACATTGTTCACAACTACATATCTCATCTTCAATACATGATTTAAACCACATAAATCAACCTATGACAGTATCTGTGTCGTAGACAAGCCTGACCTTTGAAAAACACTTCACTTTACTCAGTACCTTGCAAGTACTTGAACATGGGCTTTGTGATTCCTCAGAACTCACAACAGCTCGGTTAAATAGGACTTCTCTATAGTAGCCAGTTAGTGGCCTTTCCACTCCTCTGGATTTAGCCAAACCCTGCTGGTCCAAAAGACTAGTCCTCAATGAGGTTTTTGTAATTATTTTTTTATTGAGAAAATAAAGATTCATAGAAACAGTTCTTTTGCTTAAGCAGTAGAATAATAACATGTTCAAAGGTTAGAGTAATTAAATAAGAAAATCTAAGATCTAAGCTGTAGTGGGCTAATCCCACCCCTCCTCCTTCTTACCATTCTACATTCTGTAAACATTTGCTACATAGTGCAATCCATCAGGAAATCCTCTCTCAGCTTAGCATAAACTAAGAGAAGCAAGCTCTCAACATCCCTCTTCCTCCATCTTTTCTACACCCCTCAGACCTCCTTCTTCATGGCTGTAAACCAATTAACTCAAAGAGGCATAATTGTTCACTTCATCTCCAATTCTCATGGAGATGCAGGTGCGTTATCTCCTTCCCAATTAGACTGGAATTTGTTGGGTCTTCCCACTGGGCCTCCTTGACCTTGCATGCTTATCAGGATTCACTCTGTACCAGCCTAGCTGTAAATTAGGAAAAACAGCCTCTCAGCCATTGCTACATTCCAATGCTTTCAAGTCATTTCACACAGAACCTATCTGACTCCATTTTATCTCATCCACTTTATCTGACTCCATTTTATCTCATGATATTGAAGCATAGTGGGACTACAAGTCACACTATCCTTCAATATCATCACATGACCTGTCTCCTCCTTTGGCCTGCAGAAGATTCAGAGAGCAAGAAGAATCATGGTAAAGCATGCCAGAAAGGGTCAAGTGTTCTTTGGAGGGAGGTTGGGCAACAAAGGAAGAGGTTTGACAGGTTTGGACTAAACCTGATGGAATTGTTAAATGCAGTTTTGTGCATAGAATGAGTATTTGTAAGAATCAATGCTGTAAAGAGAAGCAAAGCTTGAATGTACCCAGCTGAGTTAATAGTGACAGCTGTGAGTGCAATCCCAGGATTGGTCAACCATGGGATAAAGATAGCAGACCAAGCACACACAATCTATGGTGTAGTGGTGGTATAGGTTGGTGTTGCTGTTCGTGTGGTCGTGGAGAGCTATCGTCGTGTTGCCGTGCTGGAGAATCCTGGAGGAAGCCGTATCTTCATGCTGTGTGCAGAAGAGGAACTCTGGCTAACTGGACAGAACGTATGGTATACGACTGCTGAACTAATTTACTGGACTTTGTCTCTGATTTATGCACTAAACTCTGTAGAAACTGCTGTGCATGACATTAGGACTTGAAGTAAGGATTAAGCTGTAAATATCTGTATATATCCTGTATATAATGCAACTATTCTGCTACCAACACTGATTTGGTACTTCATATCTCAGGGAAGCTCTATTGGTTAGTGCCACCTGGTGTAATCCTGGAAATACTGTAACTCTGTGATGTGATGGTGATTCTTTAAGACCTGACAGTGGACTATGCTGGGGCCTTGCAGTTACCTGACAACAGTAAATCCTGACAAGAGCTTTTTTCATTGCTGCAGCTTTTTACTATTGCCCTTCTTTCTTATCCTTAGAGCCATTCTTCTTTGCCGCTACTGTTCATAACCTCGCTACTGTTCATAACCTTTGCTGCTACTGTTCATAACCTCATACATAACCTTACTAACATTTCATTTAGCTGCTTAGCATCCCTAACTTTCTTTTAGCCATGGATGGCCACTCATACAATCACCGGGTCACCACATCCAAGCAGAGTAATTAGGAAGATAGGACTGAAGCTGAGAGCAAAGGAGTTAAAATGGAATAAAGAAGAAACAGCTTCCAGAGCATCAAATACAAGAAACAGTTTGTGAACACACACAAGAGTTCAAGTTGGTGTTTCCACATCCCCTCTGGTAATCTCTTCAATTCCACTTACCCTTATTTGAAACCAAATATCAAAGCTGGAAAATATTTGGTATGACCCTCATATGAATAGGTATGACTTTGTGTGTTTAAATAAATGCTATCTAGTTCTGCCACTTTAACTTGTCTTGGTAATCAACAGTTTTATTCCCTCTGCAGCTTCTTTATAATTCTGCCAAATAATATTCTGGAGAGAGACTTTGCCTGACTAGTTTTTCAGAATTATAATACATAGGCAATATGTCTTTTACTGTTTTGCCACTACTGTTGAATATAGAAGGGAAGCTACAAAATGGAGCACAAGGTGGAAGAAAGAAAAATGTTCACAAGGTTGTAAGGAGAATGATACAGATTATGAGAGGGAAAGGTTTTCTTTCTTTTTCTTTTTTCTTTTAACCAAAGGTTTTGTTGATGAAATGACTTTTCCTCACCACATGAAAATGAAAGAATCCGTGGACCCAAACCCCTTTAATACCCCAAACAAGGCTTCTGCCACTGCAGGAAGTCAATTATCTCCATGGCAACCAAAACAAATAGTGAGCATTGCCGTAACATCCACAAAGGATAAAAGATGCATCTAAAATTAATTTATGTCTTGGGATCAGCTACTTCAGATGAGAGAATTGGTCCATAAAGCACCCAAGAGAAGCCATTAAAAAGAAAAACAAAGCAAACCCACCAGTTTTGCCCTCAGGGAGGCAATGTTTGGAACGTGTACATTTGTTTTGATCCTGTCTTTGAGCAGGATGTTGTGGAGATGGCTTTCCCTATTTTCATCATTCCTTCTTGAAGACCTCCATGTACTTCTCCATGTTATTTGTTTAGCAATACATGTGCTAATCTGTTAACCTCTACATCTGACCTTTTTAAAATTTTAATTTTTGTAAACAATCATTTTACATTGCTGAAACTGCTCTGAAACTGTACTGTGTGCATGCTCATGAACACAGTCTAAGATAATGGGATTTGCTACATGGAAATGTGTAGTTTTAAAAAACACAGATAGAATTTATATAATGGCAAAATGCATGTTTTAAAATAAGAATGTTTTCACTTCATGCTGTGAAACAATTTCAGCTGAAAAACAACGTTTCTAACTGTTGCTGTGTACATGTTTTACACATTGATTTACCCAGTGTATCAGTATATTTGTAGGTATATCATGTAGGTCATGCAGGACAATAGCCCACCGAATTGCATGATTATGAATACCCCAACTGTTGCTGGGAGCAGCCACAGAAACATTTTCCCCATTCTTACCAGATATAATTCATACATTGGAGAAGCACCCTGGAGAGCATTGCCAGAAAAAAAAACTAATGGGTAGGCTCATATGGGAGGATGCAGTTTTCCAAGAATCGTGACTGTAAACTGTTTAGAACATTAGAGGTACTAACTGTTACATACAGCACTGATGTTACCTGTCTGTCATGGGTTTGGAGGGAAAGTTCCATCCTATGGGGAGTGGAAGGCGGGACATCAGGAGGAGGGGCTGTACTGTATAAATATGTGATGCCTGTGTGGCGAAGATGTCAGATGCTAAGAGATGCTGAGAGACTGGGTTGTGACGAAGCAGCAGCTGGGAAGAAGAAGCTGTTGTGGGAGTCTGTGTGTCAGACAGGGTACTACTGTGTGTCAGAGTACCAACCTGATAGGTTCAGGTGTCTGTTGGTTAGCCAGAACTGATAGGTTCAGGGTCTGTGCTTCAAGTTAAGGGTTCTGTGTGAACCAAACTGTGTGTATGTATGAGTGAGAATAAGCCACGTTACTTTATCTATTCACCTGATTGTTTATTTTTCCCTGTGTGTATTTAAATAAACCTTATTCTTTTTATTGTTTGAAAATCCATCCCTGGTCTGTGTGACTTCTTACAGGGGATGGTTGGTGGCAGCTTAGTGTAACTGTGTGACATATCCCAGTAGGTCTGGGTTTGTCACACTAACTAGCAATTTAAACTGTGTCCAGTAATAAACCAGTAGCCAATGCAGTTGTTTTAACAAGTCGGTAGGCATGATATGTTTCCCAACACTTAACTTTGTTTACTAGATTGGCTGTACCTACTGATGTTGGGAAAGTGTGAAGGCAAGAGAAGGGGACGACAGAGGACGAGATGGATGGACAGTGTCATCAAAACTACCAACATGAATTTGACCCAACTCCAGGAGGCAGTGGAAGACAGGAGAGCCTGGCATGCTCTGGTCCATGGGGTCATGAAGAGTCGGACATGACTTAATGACTGAACAACAACAACCTACTGATGAAGTTTCTGGATGTTTTTCAGAGTTAGTCCTACACAGCAGCAATCCTCAAACTTTTTGGGGCTGCGGACCGGCTGGGGGGAGTGAGCTCCATGCGTGGGGGATAGGGGCACCCCTGCATGAGTGTGGTGGGCGTGTCATGCTCATGCGGTGGGCATGTTGTGCTCACTGTGGGCATTTCACACTCATGGGTGTGCTTTCCAAGAATCGTGACTGTAAACTGTTTAGAACATTAGAGGTACTAACTAGTAATTTAAACTGTGTCCAGTAATAAACCAGTAGCCAATGCAGTTGTTTTAACAAGTCGGTAGGCATGATATGTTTCCCAACACTTAACTTTGTTTACTAGATTGGCTGTACCTACTGATGTTGGGAAAGTGTGAAGGCAAGAGAAGGGGACGACAGAGGACGAGATGGATGGACAGTGTCATCAAAACTACCAACATGAATTTGACCCAACTCCAGGAGGCAGTGGAAGACAGGAGAGCCTGGCGTGCTCTGGTCCACGGGGTCATGAAGAGTCGGACATGACTTAATGACTGAACAAGAACAACCTACTGATGAAGTTTCTGGATGTTTTTCAGAGTTAGTCCTACACAACAGCAATCCTCAAACTTTTTGGGGCTGCGGACCGGCTGGGGGGAGTGAGCTCCATGCGTGGGGGGGTAGGGGCACCCCTGCATGAGTGTGGTGGGCGTGTCATGCTCATGCGGTGGGCATGTTGTGCTCACTGTGGGCATTTCACACTCATGGGTGTGCAGGGGCGGAGATCTGTATCCATGGCCCAGTTACGTCAAGCTCATGGACTGGCACTGGGCCGCAGACTGGTGGTTGACAACCCCTGCTATACAGAACCTCTTCCAAGGATGAGCTATGTTGCCAGATTTGAAATTTCTGGTTTTGGGAAAAGCTAGCTCTCTTGTTGGATAGAGCACTACTAGTCATGGCTAGTCTGTTAGCCCCCACTATGTGGTATATATAAAAAAGCTATGAATACCCTTTTGTGTGAAAATTTAAAGACAAGACATTTAATATCATTTGCCTAATGTTTTTTCATAGTTCTTGGCAGGACTTGTTTCCTCTGTATCTTTCAGTGTAACTGCTCTCAGAGTTTTCCATACAGCTGTAATTCTGTTTCTGCTGCAGATTCCCACCCTTTGGAGTGTGTAGATTTCCAGCTTTCCCTCCTGTGAACCTGGACAGTGGTCTCTGGTAGGTGCTGCAGGAGTTTGCTTCCTGGGGGCTCTTTCTTCCTTCTGTATGAGACTTTTCCAGTGGGAACATGGCACCAGGGATTGACCTCCTGATAGTGGGTTCAACCCATGGAATCATATGAATATTTTTTTAAAAAAACCTCCCTACTTGTTCATATATTGAAAGCAAGAAGTCATGTTACTGTTGTTCTTATTCACCTCTATAGTAAGAGGATGCTCCCCCATCCCCCATACAATGCATTCCAATGGGCAAAATACCTAATCGCCCAGTGAAGATCCTCCATAGGGCGGCCATTTTCCAGTGCCTGTCTTGCGAAAAATCCATCCTAAAAACAGTGGGGAGCCATTTTGCACAGCAGGTGGCCATTTTGAGAGCCGCCGATCAGCTGTTTTTAAACCATCGTTAAGCAAAAAATTGGTTCCTGAAGCAGGGAACCGATTATCATAAAGCGATTTTCTCCCATTAAAACCATTGCAAAAACCTCATCTTCAAGCGGATTTGTTGTTTAACGAGGTAATTGTTAAGTGAGGCAACACAATATATAAAACTGCCAGTGAAATATATAAGCATATGAAACAAGCCCAACAGGTCAATTGCCTCTCTAGCGAATTATATGAAATAGTCTCATTGTTGCTTCTGTGTTTAACAATAATATATATCAAACCGTTCCTGTTTCAAATGTCATTTTACTGTTATAGGTTTGATTTTTTTGCCTGTATTTTATTACATATTTTTGTTTATTGTTAGTGGCTCTTCAATATGATGTCAGAAAAAATGACAATGATAACATTTACCACAATGATGATTGATGATGTATAAGAAAAAATGAGAGACCAGTAGCAGTCAAAAGAGACATTGGAAGTAGAAGATAAAGCGGGGAAGGGGGAATACTGAGTAGAGAACAAACATAGTGGAGGAAGCGCCATGGAAAAGGCTCACAGCAAAAGAAAGAAATGACACTCTTCACCAGTGGAACTGCAAAACTGCTTTTCGATTCCTAAAGAGGAGTGAGGCAGACAGCATTCACAGAAAGACATACAGTATACACTGTGGGAGGACAGGAGAGAGAATGAGACTCAGCTAAGGAGAGTCACCCTACAAAAAGAAGAAAAGAGCAGTTGCAGTAGGAGACCCCCTACTGTATGGGATTGAACCCAAAATATATTGGGAATATCCAGGAGTCCACCAGATATGCTGTTCCCTGGAGGGATGTGGTGGTAGGATTGCCACCACTTATAGAACCCACAAATATGCATCCCTTTCTTCTAATCTATGTGAAAATAAATGACACAGCCAAGAGGAATTGCAAAGAAATCTGGCAAGCAGTGTGTTTCACCTCACACAGGCTGGGAAGATTAGTTTGGCCACAGCATGAAGAACTTTATCATGAAGGCTTAAAACTGATTTGGAAAAAGGAAGGGAGACACAAGCTCAGAGAGAAAGACAGATGAAGGCTTGTACAGAGATGAAACAGCTCTTTATAGGCTCAAGAACTGGGCTAAAAACAGAATAAAATTTGACAGGGGTAAGTACAAATTTCTATACCTTGAAAAAAAGAAACCAAATGCACTGTTACAAGGTGGGGGATACTTGGCTCAGTAATATTATGAGTGAGAAAGATCTTGGATTTATTGCAGACCAGAAGCTGAACATGATTTCAATGTAATGTAACTGCAAAAATGGCCAATGCTATTTTGGCTGCATTAACAGAAGTAGACGGCTTGATAGCTCAGTGGTTTAGATATCTGGCTGCAGAACCAGAGTTTGGGAGTTTGATTTTCCACTGTGCCTCCTGTGAGTAGAGCCAGTCTATGTGTCCCTGGGCAAGCTGCACTGTCCCAGGGTGCCCCAGAAGAAGAAAATGGTAAACTATTTCTGTGTATTCTCTACCTGGAAAACCCTGAAAACAGTCACCATGTCAGAATTGACTTTTTTAAAAATTCATTTTCCATTGGGTACGGGAAGATTATAGGGAAGGGGATTTGGATCAGGGTATTGGGGTAATTTGGAGTTCAAAACAAAGCAGGGCAATGGCTAATAGAGTTTTAAGAGAATAAGCTGGTCATCACAAACACTCTTTTCCAACAATACAAGTGACTCTACACATTGACATCACCAAATGGACAATACTGAAATCAGATTGACTGTGTTCCCTGCAGCCAAAAATGTTATCTGCAGCCACTGGGCTAGTCAGGTATAATCTAAACCAAATCCCTTATGGATACACAGTGGAAGTGAAGAACAGATTTAAGGACCTAGGTTTGGTGGACAGAATGCCTGAAGAACTATGTATGGAGGCTTGTAACATTGTACAGGATAAAGCAACAAAAACCATCCCAAAGAAAAGGAAATGCAAGAAAACAAACTGGCTGCCCAATGAAGCCTTATAAATAGCAGAAAAGAAAAAGGAAACAAAATGCAAAGGAGATAGGGAAAGTTACAGAAAATTGAATGTAGACTTCCAAAGAAGAGCAAGGAGAGACAAGAGGGCCTTCTTAAACAAACAGTGCAAGGAAATAGAAGAAAAGAATAGAAAGGGGAAAAACAAAGATCTCTTCAAGAAAATTGGAAATATTAAAGGAACCTTTTCTGCAAAGATGATCATGATATAGGACAAAAAGGGGATGGACCTAACAGAAGCAGAAAACATTAAGAAGAGGTGGCAAGAATACACAGAGGAACTATACCAGAAAGATCTGGATGTCCCGGACAACCCAGATAGTGTGGTTGCTGACCTTGAGCCAGACATCCTGGAGAGTGAAATCAAGTGGGCCTTAGAAAGCATGGCTAACAACAAGACCAGTGGAGGTGATGGCATTGCAGTCAAATTATTTAAAATCTTAAAAGATTATGCTGTTGAGATGCTACACTCAATATGTTAGCAAGTTTGGAAAACTCAGCAGTGGCCAGAGGCTTGGAAAAGATCAGTCTACATCCCAGTCCCAAAGAAGGGCAGTGCTAAAGAATGCTCCAACTACCGTACTTCTTTTGTACTCTTTTTGGTTCACCAATCTCTGGAATAAGTCAAAACTGATGAGTGTATATGGACAATGGTAGTAATCTGTTCGCTATTTCTTAGGCATTCACTATGCTAACCTTCACAAAATTGTTTGATTCTCTGTACGTACGAGAATCACCACTGCAAATTTGTTTGTTAGAAAAAAGATCTTGCTGACTTAATTGTTTTTAAATTGAAATAGAACAATGCTCCTTTGATAACCGAGTAAAGGAGGGCAAAGAGTAAAATAAGTAACATTAACCAAGCATCTACAAATTAGGCAGGATCAAATGAGGAAATCTTTTCTGAGGTGCATATTCTGCCCCATTGTAGCATGTGCAATTGATTCCAAATGTTTGTGACAAGTGTAGCAGCTGCAGAAACCTCTTCAGGTACTACCTAGTCTCATGGAATGTGAGATGGCATTTAGCAGATGGGAGGAGTGTTCAAGGCATCATTCTGGCCCCCAAGAAGTTACCAGCCAATCCAGGCGCTTTCTGATATGTTGATTTATAGCTTAAGCTCTTCAAACTATGCATACTGAATATAAAGTTTGCATAGTTTGCCCTATAGTTTGGGTAGAAGGGGAAGGATTATCGTGGCACACTAAGTACTGTATGTCTCTGTATCAGAAGCTTTATACTGAATTCTCTCTGTAGATTCTCAAATTAACACACAAAGGCTATTGTTATATATAATTCTTTCCCTGCATTTGTGTTCACTGTACATTATCTTATGCTGGCAGACCAAATCAACATTCTGTAAGGTAATTCTAAAAATGGGGCTGCCACCCCAAATTATAGCTTCTTAACTGGTCTTCAGATCAGCACATCTGGCAACTTCATAGCAAACCGTCTGTATTTGCTCTGCACCAACTTGGGGAATTCTGGGCAAATGGTTTTGGAGTTACAATTTTTTAAATTTTAAATTGTTTTGCCCCTCTTCAGAATTAGGTGAACCTGAAGTCCCCAGATATAAAACAGATCATATATTAAAAAGACAATATTTCTTATCTTGAAAGAGAATTGTTGGCTCTACCCACTTTTGTTTAATTTGTAAAGGATAGAGGCTACAGAGACTGAAATATTGATCTTCAAAAAAGGCCTATCAAAAGGGGGAAATAGCCACTTTGTTATAAGAATGGTCATGGCGTTGTTATAAGTGCAGTCACTCCTCACTTAATGACCTACTTATTTAATGACTGCTTGGACTTGTGACCAGTTCTCCAGTGAAGGGAGTCCCCTTTCTCATTCTGCTGCCAAACCAGCCAAAATCAATGCCTGAGATTAAAGTGGGCCCCTCACCTCTTGTGGCTACCCATGGCTCTTAAACCATCCAGGAACAATGCAGAAGCTGTTTTTTGTCAAGCTGGGGGCAATGCTGCTACTGCTGCTCTTCCAGCTGGCTCCAGCTCTGGCTCCTTCCTGCTTCTGCCTTTAAGCTTAACAACCAAGTCATAAGAATGGAATTTGGTCATTAAATGAGGAATGCCTGTACAGAGTAGCTAGTAGGAACTTTGTGAAAGGAAACATTGTAAACATTCATAGGCATGAGAGGGAACTATTTAGAGAGAAATATCACAGCAACAGACTCAAAAGAGAGGTTTTCTTTAAACAGTAACATACAAACAGGTTTGCTTTAAAGAAAGTAATGGAGTGATAGTCCCCCAGAAAGGGAGATATTCTGCCCTGTATCTTCAGTAAACATTATCTCAGGATTTATGAGATCAGGTTTCAGACACAAGTTAGCTGACTGTATGAGCTAATGACCTAAATGTTCAGAGCTCTGCTCTGATCTTGTAAACCAACAATCTTTTTTTAAAATTTTCTTTTTATTATATAAATCCATCCATACTGATTTAACATCGTGCCACCAGGGTACAGCTTATAATCACTGTAAAACAACTACTACACACATTACGCTCCTAACCTATACAACATCCTTCTAACCATTGATAGAATAAGTCCCATGTTTGATAATATTTTGTATCTTCTTTTCTTTTGATTTTCAGTGCTAGTCTGTCCATTTCGGCGCAGTCCAATATCTTTTTAATTATTTCTTGATCCTTCATTTTTCCAGTACTGTGCATAAATAATCCTCGCAGCTGTTAGAATATGCAGTATTAAATATACATTTTGTCTATCAACACTTTCTGGTATTATACCTAACAAAAAGAGCTCTGGCCTAAAATCTACATGCTTTTTCATTATTTTAACAAGCCATGTATGTATTTTGTTCCAACATTTTTTTGCTTTATCACAAGTCCACCAGAGGTGATAATAGGTTCCAGTTTTTTTATGACATTTCCAACATTTACTTGACCTATTAGAGTACATCTTAGCCAATCTATCAGAAGGTAAATGCCATCTATAAAACATTTTATATAGATTCTCTTTATAAGATGTTGCCATTGTCATCTTATAATTTCTGGACCACAGCTTTTGCCATTTTTCTAAGTCAATATTGTACCCAAAATTTTTTGCCCGTTGAACCATCGTTTCTTTGACCTGTTCGTCCTCCATTTTCCAATTTAAAAGGAATTTATATACTTTCCTAATTAATTTATCATCTGATGTTAACATTATTTGGTCAAAAGTTGTCTGTTCTTTATAAAAATCATACATTTTT